TTATTAATATTAATAATAATAATAATAATAATAATAATAATAATAATAATAATGATAACAAGAACAATAATAATAATAATAGTAATAATAAGAAGAATAATAATAATAATAATGATAATAATAGTGATAATACTAATGATAATAATAATGATAATAATAATAATAATAATAATAATAATAATAATAGTAATAATAATAATAATAATACTAGTGATAATACTAATGATAATAATAATAATAATAATAATAATAATAATAATAATAATAATAATAATAATAATAATAATAATAATAATAATAATAATAATAATAATAGTAGTAGGTTTATGCCACTATTAGAGGGAACAATTGCGGTTACCGTCGGCAGTTTCACTAAAGGGATGTAGGGTATGCATCAATGGATTTTATTAGGGTTTTATGTGCTATTTTACTTGTACAAATACCAAAATCATAGCCTTGGGCTAGGCCTAGCGTGAATGGGGTTTGAGCAGGCGGCTACGGATCGACTTTCCGGACTTGTAGTTGTTTGACCTTCTTTATCAAAGACTTAGGTTGCGGCTTAAAGTTGATTGTTCAGATCTATTAGTGAAACAATAGAAAATGGATACTGAAAACTACTTACGAGTAATAAAAGAACAATCAGTGGCTGCCATCAAATCCTACACACTGGTGTAGGCCTACACTTTTCCGCGATGATTTTTTGATTTTTTTGTATATTATTTTGACACGTTTAAGTGCTTCAGGGGAACTTTCACAATAGAACAAACGCCAATGTTTGCATCGTTGATGGAAAGTTGAATTACTGACAGCTTAGCCCACTAAACACACAAAATGTGCAGACGTTTCCTAGCGTAGAAATGTATATAGGACGCAATCAATCAAAAATCACTTAATTGTATAACAGCAGAGCAGTTAAATTTAATTTCCGCTTACTTAACTTGATGTGCGTAAACTTGGCGTTCAATAAACCGCCCATATGTGCTCTAATGTTTGATCTAGCACTGTACCGCTAAAGCAACTTTTGAATGACATATGTGTGTTTTGATGGTGCAATCAAAACATATACCTATGCCTAATTCCCCGAGACTTCAAATACATTCCCAGCTTTTATACCATTTTTTGATCGTGTACCATTGTTCCCGTTGTTGTTTGTGTTAGCCAAGATCTTTTCGTGGACAGGAAAAACAATTATTTTTTCTGTATCATAAAATGATACATATTTGTTCAAGACCTGCGTATATTACAAGGACTTGTAAGAATTTTAATATCGGTTACATAAACAGTACCGTGTAAAAAAAACCCGAATGTGTGTATACATGTATGTATATATAATATATATGTATATATATATGTATATATATATATATATATATATATATATATATATAATTATTCGAATTAGGAATTCATAGAAGGGCTATGCTTAATACACTTATCATCATGTTCCTATTCGTGCACTATTGATATATTTATATAGTATACGGTACATTCATATAGGCCTATATATATATATACATAGAAATATAAATATAAATATAAATGTATATATATATACATATATATGTATGTATGTGTATAATTATATATTTGTAAATTGTAAAATCTAAATTTTGAATATTTTTTATTGTAAATTAAATTTTAATATTTGAAATGTTGCTATTTTTTTCTTAAATCTTATTGTAATCTTCGACATTTTGCCTGCGTTAGCCTGAATTCAGGCTGCGTCCTGGTCTTTGTGTGTTTTTCTTTGTATATTGATATATTACATAGTATATATTTAGCCCTCTGTATAAACCATGGTCAATTAGGAGATAAACCATTATAAAGTAATGCTATCAATTTTATACCTTAAAGAATCGATTCCGACTGGATCAATCAATCGATCGATCAGTCAACAACAAATTACGATGTAGTGTAAATAATTATAACCCAAAAGCCTAGAGTATAACTTGGCTTAAGGTTTAATGAAATAATGACACCTGAAAATCAATTATATTGTTATCGACCATTAAAACAATTTACTCAACAGAGCTGCCCGTACCAAATCAGTTAAGTCTTATGCCTAGTTCTCTACCAGGCTGCGACATTGGCATATTCTCGACCACTTGGATAAAAGAAGGCACAGAGATGGGCCCTTTCACTGGCAAGATAGTGTCAGCAGAAGACATAGACTGGACCCAAGATAATCGCTTCGCATGGGAGGTGTTCGACAGCGACGGCAACTTTGCACACTTCCTTGATGCTTCGGAGGAAGCGTACGAAACATGGATGTGCCACGTGAATTGTGCTCGAAATGAGAGCGAACAGAACTTGGAGGTGTTTCAACTTGGGACAGAAATATATTACAGAGCTTTAAAGGTAGGCTACATTAATTTATATGACCGTCTGTGCAATTTTTCGGTGTGGCAATGCCATGGAAACTTTAATATAAAACACAATTGGGTTCGTGCGTTTTTGTTTTCGTGACAACGCGTTTATGGATGTTGGCATTGCGATAGGCGTAAGCTAATAGGGAAATTTCGAAACGATAACGAATACGTCATTATCATTAGCGTCATTCGTGCCAAAAACATTCTTGAAAATATGCTGTACTTGCTGAATATGATTGCCTATGTTGTGACAGATTATGCTATTGTAGGGGAAGGGTTGTCTAAAAATTTGATGACGTAACCGTATTGGTTAACGTTTTTGTAAGCTTGCGAATAGCGTAAGTCAAATTTCGTTGTTACCTGCGGTCATTCTTGGTTTCAAGTTAATGGGTTTCTGTATGTGTAATTGATAGGATAACTCATGAGCTTCATCATCGTGTTCTTGTGTTTTTTTATTTTTTTTTGTGTGTTGACAATGACCTTTATACGAATGTTCACGTGAATGTTTATGTATGTCTTTTTTTCCTAGGCAATTCCACCAAACCAAGAGTTACTTGTATATTATGGTAATTTCTACCATACGTTTCTAGGAATTCCAGTGTCGCCTACATCAGCTGAAGAACACAAAGAAACAAATGGTGTGTAAGCTGTTCTATTCAATTTTTGTGACGCATTTTCACCATTTATATTCTAGCGGATTCAGTTTCTTTTATAGAATATACTTGATGCAATGATAACACAATTTCATATCATTACATAAGCCTAATATACATACATATGTTAAAATAGATTAATTAATAAGAATAATAATAATATTGGTAATAACAGTGTAGTATAATAATTATAATAATTAATATTGAAAGTACTACTCTAGTGCCACTACTACCTAATAATGATGATGATGGTAATAATAATAATAACAATAATAATAATAATAATAATGCTAATAATAATAATAATAATAATAATAATAATAATAACAATAATAATTTATCCTTAATATTATCTATAACAAAATGTATAGGCTTATCAGTATTATACCTTATTTTTATTCATATAGAACACTTTTCATTACCACTAACTATTTAGAGTCACTATTATTATTATTATTATTATTATTATTATTATTATTATTATTATTATTATTATTATTATTATTATTATTATTATTATTATGAATAATTATAATACTAGGCCTATCATGTTTATGTTCCAATAATTATGGTTTTTGCTATAGATCTAATCACAGATAATAATAAATCTCGTACATTTATTTCAAAAGATTTGAACGTTACAAAAATTCCCGCTTTGACATCATGTCGTTTGCACTGTGTCGTCTGCCATCGAGGCTTCAATTCTCGCAGTAATCTCCGTTCACACATGCGCATTCATACACTCGAGAAACCGTTTGCCTGTCGGTTCTGCGAACGTCGTTTTAGCCAGTCGTCTACTTTAAGGAACCATATTAGACTACATACAGGTAAGAACATGATTTTTCATTCTGTATTCGTATTTAAATTTCATCAAGAAAACTAAATGAAATCAGAACAAATCCCATATAAGCATCGGCATGTACAACAATCTAAAAAAACCTCAAACGAACACTAACTGTCAAAAACAATCAAAACAAATATAGGGCCTATGTTTGATATTGTATTAAATTATTTTTTTTGTTAACTTCCTATACACATTATATTTTTATTTATTTAATTTAATTACCGTATTTTGGCTTATTATATGAGAAGACAATATTTTACTTATGTGTTAACAATTGTTTTATTATATTATATCATAGGTCTTTCTTTAAAACAATTACTTACATAAGGAAAATGAAATAATATGGTTATTAATTATTTATTTATATATTTAGCATTTGTTTGTACCTTTAAAGATTTAATTAAAAAAATGATTTTATAATTTATTGAATTGAGACTTTGTTAATTTGTGCAGTATGTTCAAATAAAAACAAATATAAAAAAATACAAATGTACTTAAACACATAAAGAAAACATTTTCAAACAGAGAAAACATCATTTGATTACGGTAGTTGCATGAATATCGATTAAAATCCTGTTTACTTCTTGCTGACAATTTTTTTTATATTTGCTGTCAAAATTCTAAAGCATTACACTTGGCTTTCTACAGGTGAAAAACCATACAAATGCCTGGTTTGCGAGAGTGCCTATTCGCAATTGGCCGGCTTGAGGGCCCATCAGAAGAGCGCCCGCCACAGACCTTCAGCTTCATCGTCAACTTGCATTGCACAATCCATGCATGCATCTTAGACAGCAACACAATCTATTAATTACTGAATTCGTTAGTAATAACCGTTTGTAGTATATGCTGCACATAAACTGTAAAGTACAGAGAGGCCACATTATTAGGATAATAAACATGTAACCACATGGGCAGTTGCGTATGTACGAATAATAGGGACATTTCGCAAGCGTACGAAAACGATAACAAATATGAATTCGTCATCATCATCATTATCGTCATTTGTGACTGAAACATTCTTGATGTTCATGTAAAAGTCATGGATGACTTACGTTATGACATATGCTACTGTACGGGGATGGACTAACAATTTTGATGACGTAACCGTATTCGTTATCGTTCTCGTAAGCTTGCGAAACCTCCCCATTAACTTGGGAAGGGGCAGAAGGTTGAGGGAGGGGGAAGGAGTTGTGAGGTGAACTATCTGGTAGAATAAGGTAATATTAGGTAATTCGTAACTACTTCAGATACTATACTAATGAAGCCCACATGGGTGTCAAATATTTCCTGATAATACGCATTTGGCTGGGCATCCGAACGATAATCGGAGAGTCTTAAGTTCAAATGAAAAATAATTGGGACAGACACATTTTTGAAAAGTACTACCTAATAATGAGGTCCAGGGAGTGAAACTTTGAAATTACGATTTTAAAGGCATATCCATTTTAAAGTCAAGTAATTACATAAAATGATTTATTCGACCGAAGATTTGGGAAGGGTCTGGCCAACGGTTTGCTTATTCCATTTGATTTATACTACAATGTGCAATAAATTTAATTAAAAGTGTATGGAGAGCCTAAACGCCAAAAAAGTGACTGTATTTTGCAAGACAGATTCGACTAAATTTAATACAGCATTCCCATTTTAGTCGTTTTTAACGATTACAATTATTTTTTCTAATACTGTACCGTATATTACCGAATATCGAGGTTGAGTTTTTAGACCATTAACTGAGCAGAAATTGATGTGAACTCTGTACTACAGTCTGCAATAGCCCCATGGTGTTCATTCTAGCTTTTCGATTTCTGTCATATAGCTGCAATATGTATTAAGATGCTGCTACTAATGTTCATTCATTGTTTGATTATATCTATGCATATGCTTGTTTATTAAAGTTATTTAAATATATTAGCTAGGGCCTATTCATAAAGGCCTACGATTCATTTTCTTCATGCGTTCCTTTTAAATTTTCTGTATCATAAAAAAAAAACAATTTTCGAAACTATTCCGCCAATAAATTTACCAACTTGTCTACCACGCTTCTGTCTTTTCTTATACATGAAATGAAATTGTTCTACTTAACTTTGATTGGAATTCGCAAAGAGTAGTGTTATTGAATGTGGAAACTGGTCATCACAGTCGTCGTCGCCATCATCATCATCATCATCATCATCGTCGTCGTCGTCGTCATCATCATCATCGTCGTCGTCGTCGTCGTCATCTCCGTCGTCATCATCATCATCACCATCATCATCATTATTACAGGTATTACAAATTACCATTACTATTACCATTACCATGTGCATTACTTTTAATGCATTATCACCATCACCGCCAGCATTACCACTATAATTAACACCACCATTACATTTCCATTACCGCCAACGCATATGGATCTTGAACCACGATTTAGCAACGTAGAACTAATTCAGTCATTATCAGTACAGCGCTCCCACACAGCAGTGGCGCCAGAAATTTGCCGACAAGGGGTCTGACGGAAGGGTCCGAACTAAGGCGACGACGAAGACTTGGTAGGCGGCCCAGAATGAAAAAAATATCACTAGGCCTATTAGGGTTCATGGGGAGAGTTTTTATGACTTAATTTGGCCCTAAATGTGCTTTTTAGACCACGATATTAGGGATCGACAAATAGCGTTATTTGGACAGGCAAATTATTAATTTTTTTAGATTTTTGATCCGACGACCTATCCGTTCGTCGGACAAGGGATGCAGGCCTGTCCGACAGGGGTGGGGAAATGCCCACCCTGCCCCCGCTGGCGACACCACTGCTCCCACCCAGTTGTCTATCCTTTCAGAAGTTTGGACGCCTCCAAATTAATTTGCTTACCAATGTTAAAAACACTTTAATAAATTTCTGTAAATGAAGAGGCTACTATGAACTTAGTTTTCATCTTGCAATCTTAGATCTATTTATTGAACCTAAAAACTTCATTCAAATCAAAACAAATACTTGGATTCATATTGGCACTTATGGTACAGTGAATTTTATTCCGTCTGTGACTGGTTTGTTGAAACTTTCTGTGGCCCTGATTCAAGCTCGTTTGGAATATTTGTACAGTTTGATCTTACATGAAAATCAATAAGAAACTAGAGTCCACAAAGATTATAGATAAAAGAGAGATTGTGATGTTGGCATTCTTTATACTTAATGGAAATTAGCATATTGCATACTTAAAGACCGTCAAATTCATGATCTGTATTACTATTATTAAATACAGGCAACTAAAATATTGAATTTAATCATAGAACACAGTAAATGTTTAAACTAAACATCGTTTCAGTCTGCATAATTTAAGGAAATGACCAGCAGCGGATCCAGAGATGTCCGAAAGGGATGTCGAACAACGTGTCTCTTACTGTACACTCCGATATACAAACGAATACAGGAGGTACTGTATTATTTTTACCCATTCATTTACAAGGACACTTTTCTCATCCTAATTTTCAATTGAAAGCTACTGAAATTAAAAGTTCCTTAAATAAACAATGTAAGCAATTGGAATATTTAATTTAGTTTTTCAAATTTATATTTGAACAGAAAACACATGGTTTAAGTCTCCATAACATAATTGACATAAACAAATGCAAATTACTTGCAAAGATCAGCATATTCTGATTCTACTGACATGCATGTTTGTGGATCTTCATACGCTGAGTCAACGCTCTTATGTGATTCCAACTTAGGTAGTGCTTCACCACTGTCACTATTATCGCCACCAATTCCACCACCACTACAACCACCACCACTGTCACCAATAATGATAGGCAATGTGTACTCATACTCTGTATCACTAAATGCGGTTGTGGTTGTTTTACGTGCATCATCATAAACATCCATGCTTATCCTTGGGGAAAGCTCTATTAACTTGTTCGAACAATAGAATCTAAATTATGTGTAAAAATAAATACTTGTTACGATTATAAGCTTTCACTTTATGTCAAATAATAACATTAAGTCTACACAATAGTATTTTTTTTTAGTAAGAACGAAGAGATGAAATTAATAAAAAATGTTAAATTAATTCAGCAAAAAATTGTAAGAGGTTGCAAAACTAAAAATAATTCTTTCAGAGTTGTATCCACCAGCAAAAGGCATTGTACCACTTACTTAAAACATAGACAACATACTACTTCTTTATATAACTTTTCTAAATCCTCTATATTTTAACACTTTTTCTCATTCTAATTTTCAATTAAAAGCTACTGAAATTGAAAATTATCTAAATAGGCCCTACACAATTTAAGCAATTTAAATATTTATTTTAATTTTCAAATTTATGTTCAATTACAAAAGTAAATATTTAAACAATACATCGTTTCAGTCTCCATAACTTGATTGACATAAACAAATGAAAATTACTTCTGAAAATCAGCATATTTTGTCTCTACTGACGTGCATGTGTGTGGATCTTCATACACTGAGTCACCAGTCTTATGTGATTCCAACTTAGGTAGTGCTCTACCAATATCACCATTGTCACCACCACCATTTCCACTGTCACCACCACCACTTCTATCACCACCAACGATGGGCAAGGTGTATTCATATTCTGTACAACCAGATGCATTAGTGGATGTTTTAGGTACATCATCAGAAACATTCATGTTTCTCTCTGTGGAATGCTCCATTATCTTGTACTTCGAACAACATAATCTAAATTATTTAAAAAAAATACATGTTACGATTATAAGATTTTCATTTCATATGAAATAATAACGTTAGGTTAAATTTATATAGTAATATTTTTTAGTAGTATTTATTGCTCTTAATTATAGGAAGAAGGAATGAATTCCCAATAAAGCAGTATGCAAATCATGCAAGTTTCAAATCAGGAAAATTGTAAGATAGGTTGCAAAACTAAAGGTAATTCCTGCAGAGGCTTCTCGACGTCAGTTTTAATCAATATACCTGGTCCTGGTTGATCAAAGAGTATCTGGAGTGGTAGAAATAGTGTCGAGTGATAGGAAAGGTCCATGTTGAACCCACAAATGTGAAAACGCCCACAAGTATAATAACAACCACAAATGTAACAACACAGCGCCCACAAATGTAATAATGTTTACAAATGTAACAACCAGTGCCCACAAATGTAACAAACAGCGCCCACAAATATAATAAAGATCATCGCCCACAAATGTGATAACACCCACAAATGTAACAAAAACACATGACCTCTTCGCCCACAAATGTAATCATTTTTCTTTTTTTAACTTCTAATATAGGAGCTAAGAACCAAAAATGACTAAACTGTAAAATTAAGAAAATGTGTAATTCATGGAACAAAAACTTGTGTCATCTTATCAAAACACGTTCCATGCCCTTTGTATCCACCGGAAAAAGCGCGGTACAAAATACTTGGACATTACATTAAAACATTGGTATTATACCATACTACAGGCTCTTTCTACAACTTTTATTTTAAGTCTTCTGTATTTTAACATTGTATGTAAATGTCGCACATCGTGTCTCCGTTATTGTGAATTCCGATATACAAATGAATACAGGAATTGTATTATTTGCCCATCCATAGGCCTACAAGGACACTTTTTCTCACTCTAGATTTTAATTGAAAGCTACTGAAATTGAAAGTTACTTAAATATCCCACTATAAGCAATTGAAATATTTAAGTAAGTCTGTAAACAACACATTTTACAGTATCAATAACATAATTGACATAAACAAATGCATTACTTCTGTAGATCAGCATATTCTGAGTCTACTGACATGCATGTTTGTGGATCTTCATACGCTGAGTCATCGCTCTTATGTGATTCCAACTTAAGTAGTGGTCGACCACTGCCACTATTATCACCTATTTCACCATTACCAACACCACCGCCACCACTACCACCGATTTCACTGTCAGCATCAATGATAGGCAATGTGTAATCATACTTTGGATCACTAGATCCAGCTGTGGTGGTTTTAGGTACATCTTCATAAACATTCATGTTTATCCCTGTAGAATGGTCCATTACCTTGTTCTTCGACCAATAGAATCTAAATTATATGTAAAAAAACCACGATATATTGTACAAAATACAGTATACAGGAACTGTCTTATTTGTCTACTTACTCATTCTAATTTGCAATTGAAAGCTACTGATATTGAATGTTACTTAAATACACAATGCAAGCAATTGATATATTTTGAATTTAATTTTTCAAATTTATGTTTAAATTACGGACAGTAAATCTTTAAACAATACATCGCTTCTGTCGGCATAACTTGATTGACATAAGCAAACAAATTACTTCTGAAGATCAATATAATCTGACTCTACTGACATGCATATGTGTGGATCTTCATATGCTGAGTCATCGCTCTTATCTGATTCCAACTTTGGTGGTGCTCCACCAGTGTCACTATTGTCACCACCACCAACACCACTGTCACCACCACCTCTGTCACCACCAATGATGGGCAAGGTGTATTCATATTCTGTATAACCAGATGCATTTGTGGTTGTTTCAGGTACATCTTCAGAAACATCCATGCTAATCCCTGTGGAATGCTCCGTTATCTTGTTCTTCGAACAATAGAATCTAAATTATGTTTAAAAAAATACATGTTATGATTTTGTTTAAACAATACATAGTCTCAGACTGCATAACATGATTTGAATGTCTTTATGTAAGTTAATTTAATACTTTTAAGACTTGTTATGAGGATTGTATGTTGTTATTATTCTTCTTCTTATTGTTGTTGTTATTATTATTGTTATTATTATTATTGTTGTTGTTATTATTATTATTATTATTATTATTATTATTATTATTATTGTTGTTGTTGTTATTATTATTGTTATTATTATTATTATTATTGTTGTTGTTATTATTATTATTAATATTATTTTTATTATTATTATTATTATTATTATTATTATTATTGTTGTTGTTGTTGTAATGATGTTGTTTGTACTGTTCTTTATTTTGTTAAAGAGGGCCCCTGAATATCAGTTAACCTACTGGGCTAAACTGGAAGGGTTACCCTCTTTAAAGATGGTTGAAATAAATAAATAACATAAACAAATGCAAGTTACTTCTGAAGATCAATATATTCTGACTCTACTTACATGCATGTGTGTGGATCTTCAGACGCTGAGTCATCACTCTTATGTGTTCCACCACTATCACCATTGACACTACCTCCAACTCCAGCACCACCACCACTCCCACCACCACCAACACCACCACTCCCACCACCACTCCCACCACCACTACCACCACCACTCCCACCACCACCACCACCAATGCTGGCCAGGGACGTGTATTCATGCTCTGTATCACCAAACTCAGTTGTGATTGTTGTAGGTAGATCTTCATAAACATTCATGGTTGTCCTTGTGTAATGCTCCATTTTCTTGTTCTTCGAACAATAGAATCTAATATTTTAAAAATACATAAACCGAAAGATCCATTGGTTAATCTCAGATAAGATATTATAATACATATTCCAATTATTGAAATGCACGCTATCGTGTCAGAATTCAATCTCGACAAGATGGTGTGCATTTCGATAATTGAAGTATGTATTATACTATCTTAAAAATAGTTTAAATTAGTATTGTTAATAATAGGAAGAAGGAATGAATTCACAATAAAGCAGCATGTAAATCAAGCAAGTTTTGAAATCAGCAAAATTGTATGACTATAGGTTGCGAAACTAAAACTAATTCTTTCGGAGGCTATTCCGAGAGATATATGCACCGAGAGACAGTTCACCATTTTCCATAGAGTGTATGCATGTTGTAATTTAAATGTTTATAATTAGTAGGCCTAGTATGGATAGAGGAAGACCAAAACTCAGATATAAAAATCTTGTGAAAAGAGATCCCTGAATATAGTTGGGAAAAGATTGCTGAAAATAGATGTGCTTGGAGGAACGCTGTCTACATTGGGCTTCAAATTATGTTAAACATGAAACTCAATTGGCAAATGAAAAGAGAGCGAAACGCAAGAACGTGAGTGTGCACTATGAACCAGCAGATGCTCCTGAATACCCTTGTGCCACATGTGGTAGAAAATGCAAGTCACGGATAGGTCTATTTAGCCACAGCAAGAAATGTACCCGATGAAAATTTTTTTTAAATTTGTTGTTACCTTAGTAGCAATGAAACAGGCATAATTATCCATAGTCAACTCTGACTGACGGAGACCATGATGATGGGAGTATGCATATGTAGTGATGGTACGATTGGAGGCTTAAATAAGTGTATTTAAACCTCATATCGTAAGCAATTAGACATAAATGATAACTAGATTTGAACTCGTCACTGAGGACGAGTTAGGTGATCCGCCGCACTTTGACCCTCGAGAAAGTGTGCGCGGTGCGGATTGAACAATTTTTAAATGCTGAAAATGGCCTAAAGTTTATGCTAATTCAGTTTTTAAAAAAAGAATTTGGAGCATTTTAAAACTCATGCATACGCGCACATCATGACGCACGTGCGCATTGTAATGTCACAAAATGTTGACTCCTGATATGAGATATATTTATCAACTCTCATTGACAAACGCCTGTTAGTGAGGGACTTAGTATCATTCATAATATTTCTCATATATAAAAATTCAGTTGTTTTCTAATTCAGATGGCAATATCATGACGTCCGATCCGCCATAATGACCTATAAAATCATATTTACAACTCATGTGCTTTCAGAGTACGGTATGTAATAAAAATTGGGGGTCACCTTTCATCCTAAGGAGCTATAACTGATTAAAAAAGGCATCATTTTAAGCATATATAATTGTTGATGCACGCGTACGCGCACGTTAAGACGCGCAAAGGGAAAATTAAGGTACCTGACATTCAACCTTGTTTGCCCATTTATTTTGATTCAGAAAGGACGAATGGTTAAGATGATTATGGGGTCATCAAAGTTTTGAGGAATGAAAGATGAGGAGGTCAGAAAAAACATTTATTTTAACCATGATGACGTCATCAAAATGTAAAAAGAAGTCACATATATAAAAGAAAATTGTCTCAGTTATAACATACTCAAAGTTGGGAGACGATCGATCAAGGATATTCGAGATACGCTTAAATGCGTATTTTTAAAATTGACGTCATAGATACAATTCAGTTTCTTTGAATTTAGATAGCAATATAATGTCGTCACAATGTCTGATCAGCCATTATGATCAATAAAATCATATTTACAACTCATGTTCTTTCATAATATGTAATAAAAAATGGGGGTCACCTTTCATCCTAGGGAGCTATAACCGATTAAAAATAGGCATGCTTTTGGCCTATTTTCGCTCTATGTCGACAAAAAGGCGCACAAGGATTCGTACGGTATGTTCTATGCGCGCGTACGACATTGCTATTGGCCCTCTAAGAAAAAGAATGGAAATATGTGAATATGTGTTTCAGACCTGTCTCTTATACACATCTAGATGTGTATAAGAGACAGGAGGAACGCTGTCTACATTGGGCTTCAAATTATGTTGAACATGAAACCCAATTGGCAAATGATTTGAGAGTGAGATGCAAGAAAAAGAGTGAGCACTATGTACCAACAGATGCTCCTGAATACCCTTGTGTCACTTGTGGTAGAAAATGCAGGTTACAGAGAGGTCTATTTAGCCACAGCAAGAAATGTACCAGGTGAAAAAATTTTAATTTGTTGTTACCTTGGTAGCAATGAAACAGGCATAATTATCCATAGTCAACTCTGACTGACGGAGACCATATATATTACAGTGCAGTAGTTTGTGTAGTGTCAGATAAGCTAGGCACTTAAGTTTAGTGCAGTTGTGCAAATTAAAAAGTATTTCAAAAATTAAATTTACTTTTGGCCTGAAACGTGCTCTAATTTAGTCAAAAAGTGATTTCGAGCATTTTGAAATTTTGAAGTACGCGTACGCGTGCGTTATGAAGCGCACACGTAAAATTAGGGTACACTACATTCAATGGCTATGTTCAGACACAACGACTTACGCTAGCGTAACGTTAATCGAGTGGTGTGAACTTGTGCGCGGCGTAGCGAACGCCAGTATTATCGCGCAATCACTGGCGTACGGTAATCCAGCAACAGACCCCAGATTAGCGTACGCCACTGATTTACGACAGTCACGCATCGGTGATTTTGAACTCAGCCAAGATTTGACCAATCAAGATAAACCTAGATGTAAAATAAAATGCGCGAATTACGAATACGAATATTTCGCGCGAATACTTACGCTAGCGTTCATTAATCGCCCAGTCTGGACATCTCGCAAGTTACGCCATGGATTAACGTACGCCTGGCGTTAGATACGCCAGGCGTATCTCACAGGTCTGAACGTAGCCATTATTTACCTGAAGCAAAGATAATAAAAAAACAGAAGATAGAGCAGCTTCCCAATATAGTGGAACATCCGTTCGAAAGGCATTGTGGGTACACGGAGAGCAATTTTACCCCGTCCGCGCGGCGGCGCTATATAGTAATAATCATAGAGATATAATAGCTCTATGGATATAAAGGCGCCGCTCTGATTCGCTTGTTTCCTGTAGTTTCTCCACTTAGTAAAATATTCAAATTTTACCCCATTCGCGGGAGGGCGGATGTTCCATCAATTTTAATGCAAATACGCGGAACAGCTCATTCTTCTGCTATTTAAGTTCTTTGCCTGCAGTTAATGCTCACTTAATACGATTTTGAAATGGCAATTGGTTAGGCTGATATTATCGATAATGGAAAAACGCAAAATTGCGCGTAGATGACGTCACGCATGACTGGTCACCTTGAAAACCTTACTGTGACTATTCCAGGAGAAGCTAAATGTTCGTTGAAGTGCGCTTGTGCGTAGCTACCGGCAATTTTGAGATATCGTGCGAACAGAAATGGAAGGAAAGGTAGAATAAAAAAAGATGAAGTAAGAAGATCTCTGACAATAACAATAGGTGATTCGCACTAGATGGTGTATCACCAATATTTAATAGGCAACTGGCACAGGTACATTGTACAGTAGATGTTTAATAATGTCGGTTGGAACACCAGTAAACTACTCTAAATCGCTTGCATTTGAACTTGGAGACATCGTCAGAATGATTTGCTATTATACCATAAGATGTTGGCCCAAAGTCAGAAATTTTACAAGAACAACATCTGCAGCCAGATTGGGCATGTGACTGACTCATGCAAGTAACTCATAGCCTAGGTTTAGTTTTACAAAGAATTTCAGTGCCTTATACGCTTTGATAAGTTTAAGAACATTATTTTAAACAAATGTTATCTTTTCTTGTAATTTATTTTCTCACTATTATATTGCCGATGATTAGTAAGAGCGTATTTTCTGGGATTTACTATTCTAACTGTTATGTTATTTTAATTCACAACTTGTTTTAATAATCGTAAAACACGAAAGAACAATGTCTATATTGAAAATGTGAAGCGAATAAATAGGTAGGCCTATAGGACTATATAAGACTAAATATTAAGCATATTGCATAAATGAATCATTTACAAAAATAAGAAAATTCGAAGAGTATTTCAATACAAACACCTGTAAAATAAGGTAAATACTGAAGATATCACCAAGATGACGACACAAAGAATAATTACCACCGTTATCAGGTAACCAGGTACTGACGGTTCACCTTCAAAGAGTAAATAATTTACATATCATTAATGAGCAATTAGTATGGATATATTAATGGTGAATTACTGTATTCTACAAAGTAGTGATTAGTTAAAGAAATCGCTCTTATACTAATATTTTGACTTTTGACCTAATAATTGCTTTATAATAAATCTCTCCTTTTTTAAAATACTGGTTAAAAGCTCCAGCCTTGTTGATGATATGAGTAATGAATTAATTGCACGTAGGCCTATGTATGTACAGGGTGTCGAGATTTTGGAAGCCTGACTTTTTGTAACTCTACCACCAACATCTCGCATCCAGGGTTGTATTCTGAAATGTTTTAGTTGCAAAACATATGAGTGTACAGCAGCAGCACACAAGCGTTTATTCAAGAGAAAGTTTGTGACAAAGCTAATAAAAAGAATTTAAAATATTTTTTTTGAAAACTGTGATTAAAGTTGGTAGATTATCAATATTTATAATGAGGTTATTCATGGTCGCTCCTCGGTACAACAAATTGTTTTTTTGAAAATCAGTATGGGAGGAATTAACAGATTGGTTTCGCTATGTATAAAATTATAAAATGAAATTATTATATGAAAAGAAATTATTTA